CGGCGGCGGGCGGAGCGGCCGTGGCCGAGCGCCGGCTGGGGCGGCGGGAGGGAAGGGCGGCAGGCCGGGTTCCCGAGGCGGCCGCCGGCTCTGAACAGGTCTGCGGCAGCCAGGACAGCCAGCGCCACCGCCGCGCCTCCTCGCAAGCCGGCCGGCAGCGTCCTCCCTCCTTCCCTGTCTGCCGCCTGCCTTCTGCTTTCTCATTCTCCCCGTGCCGCGGGGGCTGGCGCGCTCGTCCCTGCCCCTCTGCAGGCGCAGAGGCCGTGCTGGCCGCCCTCAGCCGGGTGAGGTGCGCGGAGGCAGGTGCTGGCTGTGTGCTGGCAGCGCTGTTGGCAGCCTCCGGTCGCAAACGGAATATGGGTACACACTGATGGAATTAGAGCCGCTCAGCCTGGACAGAGCTTGAACGTGCTCGCGGTGTTGTAGCTTTTCATTCTAAGCGTGTATAAAATGCTGTAGGGTAGGGGGTTCAGTCAAACGTACAGGCAGCGTGGTGTATTTTGTCGGCCTGTACCGTTGTGTCGCCCTTCTTTCTGCCTGCGTCGTGACTTTGGACTAGCAGGCAGCTCATTGGTAATAGCTGCGGATCGGTGCTACACCACATGGAGAGAGATCGGCCTGTGTTTTGCTCTTCCTGCTTGAAGAGAGGCTGACATAGCTCCTTTGCAATGTCACTTTCTTTTCAACTCCGTCTGAAGTTTCCAGAACCTTGCACGAGTACGCAGAAAGCAATCATGAATGCTGTTCTACCATTAAACCAAAAGGTCAGCGCCAGTTAGGAAGAAAACGAAAATCATGCCATCTTCCTCTCCTGCTGGATAACATAAATACTTCTGCTACTGTGTTTGGCCGGGGGATACAGCTTTTCCGGAATTTGGAAATATGGAATCTGAAGTGGTTTTGGCTCTTTGTACATAAGGAGGATTCAGGGTTTGTGTTTGCTTCAGCTTAATACGTTCCTAACTTCCAGTTGTTAGTGCAGCATTTGAGTAGTGGATACTTAGGAAACTCTGAGCCTAAGCCGTCTGACGCTGCTCAGTAATTCTGTCATGGAGCAACAGAAAAGTTAGAATAGTTCTCTTTTCCTAATTCATTCTTCTGTGAATGAGGGGGTGTGGGGCTTTATTCCATTCGCTTACATAATGAAGACAACGATAATTCTAGATTGTTTCAATTATACAAAGACTAAAGCTGCATAATTCCTTCCATATTAACCCTGTGACATAGAATATGAACATTTTCCATGAGGATGGAAAGGACTTAAAGGAGCTGTTTAATTTATATGATAAATACGTAGTTTGTAATTAATTACATTTTAGCTTTAATTCCATTTTGTTTCTGCTTACTTTAAACAGCAATTACAATATTCTTCAGATGTGAAGAGCAGGACTGCTTGGCTCATGAATTTGAGAAATGCAGGAACTCTGAGTGATGCAAGGTGAAAAAAAATTTTGAGATATTCATATGAAAATATTGGTTATGTATTTTGGAATAATGCATACTAATACTACCAAACTAATGTAATGTTGATGTGATGTAAAGCACAAGTGCAGTTTCAGCTAAAAGCATTTTGTGTGTATTTGCGAAGTCGCTTAGCAGATAACTTGTGTACCTAGATGCGGGTGTCTAGCACCATTTCACACGTTCCAGAGGATGTGAGATTTCTGCTCGTTCTGAGAAAAGGTGACATAGCAACTGTTGGAGACTTCTCCCCTTCTGATGCAGCAGCCGGAGACACAGTAAAGGATTATGGCAGGTGTCTGAAATGGCTCTTGCCTTTAAGTGCCTGAAGTGGACCCTGAGCCTGTACATGAATCCTGCCCGATCCAAAGGCTTTCTGTTCTCCGTGCCCCAAGGCATTTTGTGGTGTCCCTCGTATAAGTGACATAGAGCATATTTCAGTAACTGGATAAGAAACTTTTTTAAAAGTTTCTATTACCAACTGATACATATTCAGCCCATAGTAACTGTTTCATTGCCATAAGCATTAGCAAAAACTGAGATTATTTTCCTGAAGTGTTTGTTGGTAGGGACACCCCTCTACACACTCAGTTGAAAGCTGACACTGATAGAGATGGAACAGCTTACATGATTTAATTACATTTGGTTAATTAAACTGTTCTACACTTGGTTCCACTAAGGAGTAAAAGAGAGTTGGTCTCACAGGTGCTTTAAGCCTTACGTGATGGCCACAATGGTGCTTTGAGACTCTGGAGTAGTCTGTAATTCATAAGTGTTAGTTCATAAGCACAGTTTAAATAACATCTAATCACCAGGTTGCATGGATAATTCCAGTTGAAGAGGCAAATGCTGTGCATAAACATGACATGCGATACTGACATTTCTAAGCTGTGTATAGCTACAGCAAGTTTTGTAGAGTCAAATGACATATATTTCTAAATGGGAGATGCTTTTGTCTCTATTTGTAGAGTTCAAAACTAAGCAAAATTTACACAAAGTCCTATTATGAAAATGCATTACTTTGAAATCTGATGCTGTTTACTAAATGCAGTTAGTATATCTAAGGAAGTAAGTACCTTTTCCTCAGTTAAGAATCTCTAATTGCAACTAATTTTGAAATTTCACTTCCATTGATAAGGTGGCTTGTCAGTTACATCACCTTAAGAAAAATGACTTCTTGTTTTATAAGATCATTTTATGGTTACAGTTTCATCCAAAGTCGTGGTCTTGGTATGTTTTTATTATTGGGAAAATGCTGTCTTCCATGCTTTTCCTCCTAATTATAGACTTCTATGTAATTTGTAGCTCTTTAGATGAGACAACCTATGAGAAGCTGGCTGAAGAAACACTGGACTCCTTGGCAGATTTCTTTGAGGACTTGGCAGATAAACCTTTTACCCCAGAAGATTATGATGTCTCTCTAGGGGTATGTTTTAAACATTATATGACCACAGTAATTATTGTAGGGGATATTTTCCTATAATTTGAAGGAGAATTTTAAATTAGTCACCTTAGTGCTGACACTGAAAATACAATGAATTTTTACACCTTTATTGCATACTGACTGGGGCAACAATTCTGGTGAGAAGTAACACATAGCATTGTGTGATTTAGGGATTCAGAATTTTTAAAATTTTCAAAATGTTTAGAGAAAAACATAATATAGAATAATAAATGAGCACAAGAGGAGATGGAAACTGTTTTCTAATTTCACATTGATTTATAAATTTTCCTAAACAGGCACAGATATCTGGCATAGCAATCAGTTCCCTTCTGGTGTACTACATGGCATAGTACATCACATGTAACTGTTAGAGCAGCTTCTTTGGTTGCCCTGAATACAGACAAGCAGCATTTGTATTGAGCAGGTAGTGTATATTTGTCCTGGCTTTAATGATGACAGCCATTGGTGGAGAGAAGCAACAGGAGGGTGCAGTGTTTGGATAGGTTGTTGCAGACGTGAGACCAGAGTGTACATGGGGAGGAGGCTACTGTCACAGGAGACATTGCATGGCTGGAGCCTTCAGTAGTCAGTCACTCAAATACAGGAGTGACAGACTCGGAATAAAAATGTCTGTGTTATTTGCATAGTGAATTTATTAGTTTTTATAGAAATTCGGTTTCTGAAGTAATCTGTGTGTTACAGCTCTAAACATGACGTGGAGAAGAGTGCTGTTTCTCCCTACTCTACTGTCTGCTACAGTTTTTTAATACTGCAGTTTTTTGAGGTCACATAACTATTGCTCCTTCTTCATGTCCTACCACAACAAGTTTGCTTTCTACATGTGTTACAGCTCTAAACATGACTTGGAGAAGAGTGCTGTTTCTCCCTACTCTGCTGTCTGCTACACAGTTTTTTGAGGTCACATAACTATTGCTCCTTCTTCATGTCCTACCACAACAAGTTTGCTTTCTACTGGCACTGTCAGTTAAGGTTTTGTGCTCCACGATGTTGAATCGGATGTTTGGGTTTCACTGTGCTAAATACAAAACCAAAACAAAAGTCTGTAGTTTTTGGCGTCCTTGTGTGTAGCTTTGTCATCATAATTTTCATTCAGTACTTCTGATAGCTAGGATATAAAATGACATATTGCCAGTAGCTTTCTGTTTAGCAAATACTACTTGTTGCTTTAATTAAATACGTAGATAATGTTACAGCTAATTGCTTTTCTGGTAAAAGCATTGTTTAAACATTACTCTTCAGTATGTTTTAGGATATCAGCACCTATTATCCTGATGTAACTGTCCTAGTACAAAAATCAGCAATGGTTGAAATTTACCTTTTTAGTATTCCTAAACACTTCATTATGTTAAGCTGATGAGTCATAATTACTTTCTCCATCTCCTGTATGGTGGATTATGTTTGACATTGACTTGTGAAGCTCCAGAGTTAGTACTTTTACATATTAATTTTTACCAATGGTCCTTTACTATATAGACAGGATGATGACAATTAATAATATGCTGTAATGTCTGTTGAAAGCAGAAGGTTAAACAGCCCAGGTTTTAATTCTGAACAAACTGTGTCAGTGCTGCAGGAAACCACAAGGTGGCGAATGTGATAAAGATCTGCTGTGCCTGTTGTAAATGTGATTGCTTTGAGCAATTTATATTTTTGTCTTCAGGAAAAAAAATCTCTTTAGAAGAATATTTTTGGTACCAGGAAGTAGCAAACATTCATCCAGTAGTACAAAACACGTACAGCAGTATTTCTTAAAATATGGTAAAAGTATCTTGCAATTTAAATTCTTAAAAAAAATTCAAGTCATATATTCTAGTATTTCCGAAGTACTGTAAAATGTATGACACATAGTATAAATAATAGTACAATTTTTTGTTAACACTTTGAAAACCTGTGTACTTATAGTGTGTCTGTAGAAACATGTAGCATGACATCATGCTGAATATTTAATATTTTATATTGGCATTACAAACCACATAGAAGAATGCTATATACAGAACCTGTATATCATTATGCAGGCTTAATCCTCCATCCCGTTCTTACTCTGCTGTAACTCTACAATTCCAAGACCATGAGATATGGAAAGCTTGAAATTCTGACAACCAGAAAAGTAGCTTGTTCTTGCACTTCTGTGCACTGTACTAATGCCCAATATAAATAGCTGGCAGGACAGACCTGATGGGACTTTTAACCAGAAGACCCTTTTATTTTGTTGTTTTGATCACAGATATAAATACCTTAAGCACAGAAACAGCATGAAACCAAGGTAAAAAATGAGATCCTGAGAGTGTTATTTTATGCCTAGTGATACTTGAGATATGTTCCCCTGAGTTACTTGGTACGGGAGGGAAGCTTTGGGTTGCTGCTTGTGCTACAGAGTATGTTGGCAGGCAGTAGGTACTCATACCTGAAAGTATTTTTCCCCATAGTGAGTGTTTGTACATAGCAAATAGCCTGGGCAATGGTAGGTAGCTCTAGTAGTATCTTCTAACTAAAGCATGAAAGGTATGATACCCTTAAAGAAGCTTTGTTGTGCTATAGGGTTTAAAGTATTGGAGATGCTGCAAACTAAATAAATTATTATCTGAATCATCACATTGCATTCTGTAGAAATATTTCCCTTTTTAATTAGTATCATTCAGATCAACTCCAGTCCAAATATTGTTGTTTTTTTTCACTCTTAAAGAACAGAAAATATTTTTCTCTGTTACAAGAAACATGAATCATGTTGTCAGTAAGAAACGTGAGCAAGAAAGAGAAAATAAATGTTCACCAGGATAATGGTCTAAAGGTGGCATAACCAAAGCAAAACCAGACTCATGAAAAACCAGAATCATGGGATTTAGAACTGGAACATTTTTTCAGGTATGAATCAGATTATCAAGAAAAAAAATGGTTTTGTTCCCTGTTACCATTACTGAAGAAAGTAAGGTAAAATTACATGGCTCAGAAATTTGGTAATGACACATAAAGTTTCTTGACTTTGAACCACACCAGTTCTACACTGTTCATTAATATAGAAAAGTTGTTATTGGATGATGTTTTAATCATTGCAAAATAAATTGCAATGGTCTGGTCTTTTCAGGATGCCGGGTCCAAGCTCAAGAGTATTATTTGAGTAGCAACATTGTGAATGGTACAAACACACTAAAATCAGACTCTGACCAGAAGGTTTAAAGTCTAGATGTAATGAGCATTCTCCTAGCTATTATTGTCTGGGAGAAGGTTGAGAATCTGATCTTACAGGTATGTAAGTTTCTGCCAATGAAGATGAAGTAACTGTTGTCAAAGTAACAGGATGCAAATTTTGTATTTCTCACTTTCTTTGTCTTTTAAGAGTGGAGTACTAACAGTTAAATTGGGTGGAGACATGGGAACATACGTAATCAATAAGCAAACACCAAACCGGCAGATTTGGCTGTCCTCACCCACTAGGTAAGTTAGTTACGTAATATCTTCTTATTTATAGCATGGCACCATCATGTAATATCTTTTTCATAAGTAACCCTTCTGCTCTGCGTAGTCTCAAAACATGATATAATCTAAACGTTCAGTAATGGTTTGGTATAGGGTTTCGGGGCACACTGCAGTATTACTGGCACACCTAAATTAATACAGGAAATGTGTAAAAAAGAATTTTCATACACTGTTTCAGCCCAAAACCACTGCCTACAGGAATATAGCTTACTCATAGGAAATAGAACCAGCAATGATTAACAAGAAACAAACAAAGCTTCTGTTGGAAAAAGAGCGATGATGTCATCATCTAAACCTCTCTTTGTGTTTTAAACAGGGTGTCTCCTTCCCTTTTAAGCTTGCGGGATTTCCTGCTTTATATGTTTATGTATGCCCACACTGGTTGTTTTTGTCAAGCCTTTGCACTTCACAGGAACCTGAGCTAGCTGCTTTCTCTGCTTTTCCTATTGATGTATTTTGATCCATTTCAGGTTTTATGGTTGGTTTCAGCAAGGAGGGCAGCCAGATAAGTGGGAAAATGCTGTAGCTGTCCCCCCTCAAAATCTGTATTCTTTGCCACTATCCCTGGAAAAGAACCCAGGGAGCTGATAAGTGTTAATGGTGAAGGAACTAGCTTATAAGATTTTTGCGTCACTGACACACAGGCTTCATCTCTTTATAAAAACCAAAATTCGGATAATTCCTGTCTTGTTTAGCTCCAGATGAGCTAAGACATACGTGTTCCAGAATATAGAGTTGGAGGAAAAAAATTAAATTTTTCCATTTTATACTCCCTTAACTGGTATTAGATAAACAGTGGTATTTCCTGGAATATGATGCTATGTGCTCTCTTATTTCCTAACTTCTGAAAGGCAACTCCAGCAAATACTGTATGATCTGAACTGTCATCTTCTTAACAGCAATATGCTGGGAGTTGAAAGAAGCAAATGTTGTTGCCAGTAATTGCTTGCATTGAATGTTTTGGAGCATTTTTACACTAATCGTTGACCTATAGTCTTATATCCCAAGGGAGACAAATTTGTCAAGATGTGACATATTTTTCTTGGATTTTTTTTTTGCCATCTGTTTGCTATTGAGTATGTGTACACCTGAGTGAAAACTTTACTTAGTTGACACTTATAAAAAAGGGGCATGAAGGGATGTGTGCAACCTGTCAGCAGTGTGATTGCAGTAATTTAATGTAGCTCCTGACTGAAAAGACTTTTCAACCTTACAGAATGTTAGCCATATCTTAATGTGATATTTTAATTTTTTTCTCTTATGGTTGAAACATATATGCAGACTTTCCATGAGAAATATACTTAATCTATAATTAACTTGGTAGGCATTTTATAGAATTCACCGTATCTTTGCTTAAACTGTTAATTTGGAAGTCAGATTTGTAGTCTTTTGGAGATTCATAGAACTATGAAGGTGCTTAATGTGCTAACCTTATCACTGATATTCACTGCATAACATTTAAAACCAGTTCAGATAATATACATATTTCTTTGTCATTGATTAAATGGTCTGTCTTAACCTGATTTTTATGAATGACAGGATCCCATTCCATCATTCTCTAGGTGCAGGAGAGTATAAACATAATCTTGTGCTGCAGAGGTGAAGTGAGAAATACTTAGTAAAATAACTGGAGCACATAACCCTGATTTAAACAGCTACTACTTCTGATACAGACAGTGAGATTTCAGTGAAAGTGACTTGGATTTGTGCTTGCCTTTGTAACTTCTCATACATTGAGCAGTGGTTGGAAAGTTCTTCCTTTGACTATTGTGAGTAACTCAGGATAGTCAAGTTTCAGATCAGTGCTTATGCTTGTAGAGAGAGAACCTGCAGATTTTTCTTATGTATGTATAGGATAATCTGTTTTCTAGCAGATTTTGTGTGTTGACTGAGTTCCAGGGTATATGTCCTAAAAAAATCAAGGGTTTCTCCATTTATCCCAGATGAGAATTTAATTCCTTTCTGTTTTCTTTGCTTATCTAATGTTAACAGCAGTGAGTACCTTTCAGTCATTCTCCCACTTGACATGTGGAAAACTGGGTGGATAGCAAGGTCTGGAGTAGAACCCATGTGTTCAAGTTTCTTTCTTGATACTTAATGTAGGCCTGGAAAAACCAAGCCAGTTACAATCTAATAGCACAAAAAGAGAAAAATGGCATTTTAGTTATAAATATCCCACATGCCAATATATTTGCTTTCAAGGGCTAAATTATTTTTTTGCATCTAAAATAAAATTATCTGTGCTTTGCTGTGCTTAGAGTATTTGCAAGAACTAATCAGTGGAATTAATTCAGCATTATACAAATATCTGATGTGATGTTTGTGTGCAAGAAAATTATATCTGTGAGGGAAAACTGGAATAAAGGAAGGAATTGTGGGGAAATCAGTGCCAAAAGCAGGAAGGGAAAGTGCCTGTCTCCCCTAGGAGTGACCGATGTATCTTGTCACCTTTCAGATATATCTGTTTGATGGCTCGGTAGTTCCTGACGTATCAGGCCTTTTCTGCTCCACTTCCTCAGACTGCCCACCAGCCGTCCCCCATGCTGTCTGTTCCTTTTCCTGGGCACTCTGTCATGCATACAGGCTTCCAGCCGGTCTCCTGAAATAATGTGTACTTACACAGTGTGTGATGTTCTGTTGTTTTTTTTTCTTTCTAGCGGGCCCAAGCGCTATGACTGGACTGGACGGAATTGGGTGTATTCTCATGACAGAGTATCTCTTCATGAACTACTATCGAAAGAGTTTTCAACAGCTTTAAAAACTAAATTGGATTTGTCCTGCTTAATATATTCTGGAAAAGAAGATAGTTGATTGTATTCTACCTCATGGAAGTTTAAAGACTTTAACTTCAAGCCAAGCTCTTTCTTAGGCTGAAGTACCTGAGCTTAATTCTGTTGTTTTTCTTGGCATCAATATATTGTGCAACAAACATGAAAATAATATATTTTTTCTCCAGTGCTCAGTCTTTGGATTTCTGTGTGCTCTTTGAATCTGTGCAGTACACATGGTTGAGGTCACCCACATCTGTCACTTCATTTCTTGCTTTCTTCCTGCAGAAGTCATGAATTTTTGGTTTCTATAGACTTGTTTGCATGTAAGGACTGACCACCTGGTGACTTCTGACCAGCACACAAACACTGAGCTGTTCTTGGTGAACAAGACATGCCTGTCAGTTACATTGACATAAATTATGGTACTGTGAATGTATTGCCTCAAAATTTATGGCTATCGTAATACATCATAGTCACATTTAATATGTCATAGTGCATGTAATGACAGAGTTTTTTTCTTAGTATTGCAGAACTTGCTATTCTCCAAATTCTAAAGTGTAGTGTGTTTCACCTCAGAATTTTTTTTAGCTAAACTTTAAATTACTTAGACATTTTTGTGGCTCTGAGCATGATACAGAACTGGAAAAGCTAGTACGTGTAGTTTAAGCTGTACAGCAATATCTTGCAAACATTTGATTCTGTTACTGTGCATTTCTCTTTCTCTACCTTTTTATTCTTCAAATATTAAAAACACTTTTTTTGAGCTGAGCAAAATTAAGTTCATGAACATTTGCACTGATTTTATTCTACTGCATTTCTTCAGTGGTTGTATATTGTCTTATCACCATGATACAGCAAGTCTCCCCCCGTGCGCTGATGGAGAAATTTCTTAGAATCAAGTTTTATTCTTAGCCTGATGAAGCTGTTTTCATTAGGCTATTAAATATGTGAAGGAAATAAACTATATACTCCAGATCTTACAACAGAAACATTTAAAAGAAATCACGAACAGCAATACTTCAGCAGTTGCACTGTTGTAATATTACAGCTTGCAGGTTTTAGCTGCCTTCCTATGGAAGGACCAAATTGTTGACTAATGCATGAGGGAAAAATTATACCATAGTCTTGCGGATTGTATGAAAAGATGTTCAGTGCACAATATTTTTCTTTTTGGTTTCTCTGATGCTGTGGTTAGTTTGACATGATTCTCTAGCTAGCTTGACAGATAAGGATTGATTTTGTCATTGAAAAACAATAACTGTAAAGTGTTCTTGCCCAGTATTTGCATTTAAATTGTAAGCATTGTTACCTGCTATTTCTCACTACTAAACAGAGAAATGTTTCAATGGAAGTAACTCTTGGTTAATGGTCCGTGCTGTGTGTATGTTTTACAATCGATATAAATTTCAGCTCTCTTGAATGAGGTAAATACAATGACTCCCAGACCTCATGAATATAACAGTAAAGCATGTCTTTTCAAAAAAGTACAGGAAGGTAAAAATAGAATATGTTTTTTCTGTTCTGAATTTAGAACAGTGAAGATAACTTATAGCATATGGAAATATGTATTTTTACATAGTTACTTTTATAATATTTATCTCAGTCTCCTACAATTTCAGGTAGTAATTTTAAAAAGTTTGTGTAGAAGTTCATGACTTGATATTTGAATCAAGGATACCTGGTTATTCCTTTGCCTGACCACATGAAATTATTTTTTCCAATTGACTTTTCCAAAAATTATTTTCTTAAGTATTTGCATGCAGTATAACCACTGACATGCATCAGATTCATATTTGGAAGTTTCATTTTTTATTCCCTTACGTCTGAAAGAAATGTTTATACCAAAATAAAATTGCATGTGAAATTCTTAATTCATTATGTAAAGGTGTAATTCAAGAGTTTTATGATAAAGGTGAAGGCCAGAGATATGTGCATACTTATGAATTCTTTCTGTTTCTTAAAACGCATATTGGAAAGATTCTGTCCAAGTGTGGCCAGTTGACATGAATTTTGTGAGAGCAGTTCAGCTTTCACAGTTTACATGCCTTGCCCTTCATCTGTAATGCTACTGCTATTTATGCAAACTATTTCCTGGGTTTAGGTATCTGAGTAACAAATGGATTTCATCTTAGCCGAAGATAAATAGCGTCAGCAAGTTAGAATGAGTTTTATCTCGATGTGCAAAATGAATCATAGGACATGACTCATTTTTTGCTTTTATACTTGCATCAAATTCTAAATAGGGGGCAAGGACTCCCATGAGCCATCACACTTGTACAGTGGAGACACAAAACGATCTCTGATCTTAATGTCAGACTGCTTATTGCCCAAGACAAGTAACACTTCTGTACTGTTTTTTACTTCTGTAACTTATGGAATTTTGTGGTATAGTTTCCAACCTGACATCATGTCAATAATTTCTTGCTTCACCTCTCCCAAAAGAAATAGCTGAAGGACAATCATTAAATACAGACTATGCACAGATAGTATTAATAAGAACCACTGTGTCATGGGCATTACTTTTTCCCACAATGCAGTTGCTCCATTGTTGGTGAAAGAGAACATGCAGAATATTTTGGAAGGATGAGTTGTCATTTCATAGCTTTACTGGCTGCCCAAGCTAAGCACATAAATTGGGGTGTGTCGGGCTTTTTTTAGGTATACCAGAATTTTCACCAACTGCTAATCTCACCTAGAAGGTCCTGTCTGGTGTTTGTTCATTTTCTTTTCCACTTGTGGGTAATTTGTGAGAAGACATTACCTCTTTGCAGGATTGATGCATGTGATAAAATCATTACATCTTATTACCTTAAAATTCCCAGTGTATTTTGGCAACTTCAATAAATGGGATAAAGGCCTGTCCTGAAGAGGAGGTACTAGAATAAAAGAAAGGGGGTTTACAGGAAGGTTTGTGTTTATTTTTAGCTTCTGGTTAGTGGTTGAACTCTGTGATTGTGCTAACCAGCTCTGTAATAGGTGGAAGTCCTGGAAAGGAAGGCAGAAGCTTGCCAGAAAACCTGGAAGAACATTCAAAATAGTAAAGGAAGCATGGGAGGTGCAGAAGCAAAGTCTTATCAGGGAGAGATTAGCTTTGCCCAACCGCTGATGTCGTTGGCAGGGCAAGGAGAGATGTGGGGCAAACTGCTTCATGTGGCTCTTTAGGGCATGGTGTTTTAAATATATTCCACACCACTGTTTGTAACCAATCAAACATGTCCATTTTACTGTAGAGATTTTTTTTTAATTCCTTTATAAAAAGATTTTAAAAATTGTGTGGAGTTACATCCATCTCTCTTCCAAACTATCTTTTATGTAAATTGTACTGCTGGCAGTTGTAGAACAAAGACAGTATTCATGCCTTCTACCGAGGGAAGTGACCAGTGGAGATTGCTTTGCTGCTGATAGGATAAACAGAGCCATGAACAATTAAAGTATTCTCAACAGTTTCTAAACTGCAAACTTTTTTATTTTTCCAGTTTTGGTTATGGAAAGACAGAAAAGTTTAGATTAGAAAACAATAGATGTTTAAAATGAGGCGTATAATGTTGGTCCAATTGACCAACCGAATTGATTTAAAAATTGTTTGTGTCGTGGTAATTACGTAAAGTGATCAGTAACACAGTGAATAATGTTGCAAGCATTGTTACTTTCCAGATGTAGGCTCTTCTGCTAGCCATCAATGTTCTCTACTGCTGTACTAAAAGAAATCAGTCATATATTTAATGTGTCCATAGTGTTACTCAACAGCATTTTAGGAGCATTAACCAGACATCCTAAGGCCACTGTTACAAAAGATTTTGAGAACTAACAGATGAAGTTTTAAAACATTCATTAAGGAAAAAGAGGGAGAGCCTAGGGAGGGCCCAGTGTAGACCAAGTAGTCTGACACATACCTGGAAGTAAAACTAAATTTCCATTTCTTGTGCCTTGATTCTGCCTGAAAGCAATATTGCATTATGTGCTGATCATAGAATTAGTCTGTAGGAGACTGAAAACACCAAGTTTATAAATTAGCCCTAAATTAGTCCTTTTTTTTTCTCTCTGGTTTGTGCTCTTGGGGCTTTTAGACTGAAATTGGTACTTGAGGGCTAGTGTATGCACATGCATGTTAATAATTAACAATAGCTAGAAGCAGGCCTTTTCATACAATATCTGAATGCAGTTTCATATTTGCTCTAATAAAACAGGTTCTTTCAGGGCCTCCTTCCAAAGTCCAGCCTCTTCATGAAGAATACTGTTTGCCTTCCTTATCTTACTTTCTGTATGCATGAACTCTACCTGTTGAGGAAGAAATTTATCTGAATTAGAAATGCAGTGGGAATCTAGTATATTTCTCACCTGAAAATAGCAACAAACCATAAACTTCAAGTAGACTTTGTTCCGCAGGCCTGATATGGGTGGGAGTGTGCTGTTTAATTTTAGAGGGGCTTGCAAGGGGTTTAACTGTCCACCAGATAAGACAGCAGATAAGGAATTCCTGGTGGCATTTAGTGCTTTACGATGCAAAAGAAATATGACTCCAAAGAATCCTGCCAGGGCTGTTTAACCTTGCCTTTCTCATCTCAGCTGCAGGACAGCAGTGATGCCGAAAGCTGATACCTGTGGAATGCCAGCCTGGAGTGTTATTTCTCTCATGGTATGTTACAGTTTCGGGAACAGTGTTGGTGGACTTGCAGAGTGACACGGGATGTTCCAGCCTGGAAATGGAGCTACTCTGCCTTTTGCTAATCCTGGGTATTTCAGCTGAGAGTGATAATGTGAACAGAGCTCTCCCGAGCTGTCAATAAAGCGGCCGCAGCAATTCTGCGATAAAGGGCAGGGAAAAGCAGATTGAGAGGCATACGTGGAACACTGCGCTGTGGTATTATAGGCTGTCTCAGAGGTCTTCCCGTTAGAAAGGTTCAGATGGGCAATGATCCCAAGTTCCAAACAACACATTGATGTAAACGGAAAACACACCCAAGCGCTGGGCTGGGTGACGGTGCGCCCTGCCAGCGGCGACAGGGCTCCGCCGTGCCCGGCCGTAGGTCGGCTCTGCTGCCCGGGCGCGGCGCGGGGTGCCGGGGCAGAGCCGGGGGGCAGAGCCGGGGGGCAGAGCCGGGGGGCAGAGCCGGGGTCCCTGCCGGGACGGGCAGAGGAAAGCCGGGGGGCGGGGCGGCCTCGCCGCGGTGACTCAGCGGCGCAGAGCACCGGGCTGCGACCGGTATTTCCTGTTCGCCTGCCGCCGCCGCCGCGGTGTCAGTGTGCGCGGCGTGGGCCGGGGTAGCCGGGCGAAGGCACCCTGCGCTGGGGGGGCGGCAGCCGCAGGTGGGGGCACGTCAAAGAGGGGGCGCGCCGCCCGCCCCGTCCGGCCGCCCCCGCCCCTGCCCTCCCCACCCCCTCTGCTCCCCACCTGGGGGCGAGGCCGGCACCTGCGGCGGGAGCCCGCCCCGGCGTGGCCGCGCCGCCCCCGCCCGCGCCCCGCAGGAAATCGCCCGACTAGGCGGGAGCGGCCACAGCGGACCCGGACCCGGACCCAGCCTCAGCCTCGGCCCCAGTCCCAGCCTCGGCCCCCAGCACTCGGATTCGACGTCCCAGTCGCTGCCCGCTCCGGGGCGGCGGGGCAGGGCAAGGCGCAGTCCCAGCGCCGGAGCGTCTCTGGGACCTCTGCTCCCGCTGCCGGACGCCCGCCGCGAGCAGGCGAGTATTCCCGCGGGATATCCCCGCTCCGAACCCGCGCTCACCGCCGCCTCCCCTCCCCGGCAAGGTGCGGTGCCCCCCGGCACCCCGTGTCCCCCGCGGCCGGCGCCTCCGCTCCCCGCCCCGGGGCCGCGCTGCGGCCACGAGCTGCCCGGCTTCTTCTCGGTCCTTTGTGTGCCTTGGGCTTTATCGCCCTCTCGCCGGCGCTCCTCAGGCGCGCTTTGCCGCTTGTCCGCAGGGGTCGGGGCCGCCGCGGGCCCCAGGCCGGTGCCCCCAGGCCGGTGCCGCGCACCTGGGCGGCGCGGACAGCCCGGCTCGGCCGCGGATCGGCTTTTCCCTAACGGGATTAAACGGCTCTCGGTGACTTTTTCCGTGATAAGTACTTTCCGGGAGAGCGCGATACTACGTGGAAAGTGGGAGAGATGTCACCGGCGAGTCGGGGTGTTTGTTTACCCGGGTTATTCCCGGGGGGGCGGGTCCCCCGGCTAGCCCACGCCCCCGCCGTCGGGGGCTCGGGCTGCCTTTGTTGCACAGAGAATTCCTGAAATCTTTATGTTGGCACATCCCGGGTGGATTCCAGCCGTGCCTTAGGCTTTGGCTAACTGGGTCAGGGGAAGTTTCAAGTTAACAGGGAACCGTGAAACAAAGGACAGGCAGTTCCAGAAGACAAATGTTTTAACTGCCTGTTAAAGTGCCTTGGCATCGGCCGTGTTTGTGGTGCTGGAGCCCAGGTACATTAGATTTTCACCCTGGAGTGGCAAGGTTGATCTACCAGTGGCATGCGGTTGCTTTAGTCGACAGCTCTGCCCTTACTTACCCCGTACATGAAACCTGTTTGCATTTTTTTTCCAGCATGAGAAAGTACATGCTGTTTGAACATACTTATATAACAGTCATATAACAAATCAGAAAACTTTCATGTTTCACTGTTGCACTCTTGCAGTTATTCACTTGAAACAGAGAGAATCTCTGAATTAACTGCTCCCTAGCTTCAGTTCATAAAATTGCGTCGGTTTCTACAGCTAACATGATTCTCGAGGGCTCTTGGCCCCGCAGCTGTGCTCCAGCAGAGGCTGCAAATGACTGCTTTGTTTTAACCTTCGGAGGTAATTATCAAGGTCGCATCATTTGCAACACAATAGATTACCTTTTCTTTTGTTTTGCAAAATTTTAAAGGTTGAGAACTGTGATT